GTTCCATTTTGTGTCTATATATTTCACTTTAATGTTGCTTTTTTTTTTTTTTTTTTTAAGAATTACTTGGAGCAGTTAGACTAACTACTGTTAAAACAAGCCAGAACCACGTTTCACTTTCTTGATTCAACCTCTAAAGCCCGTCTTCACAAGGATAGACGCGATCCTACCATAGATTTAATGAGATCAGAACTGACAGAGTAGTAAAACAATCCCAAATTTTCCAAATGAGCTTCACACTGTATGTGTGGCAGCCATGTTGGATTTTAAACTCTGATGTAGCTGTCAGGGTTTGGTTGAGGTTTTAAGGACCCAAATGCAGAGGCGTTGAGGCAGAGGATAGTTCTTGTATTTTTGAGTTCTCAAGAAGAAGAACAGAGACAAGAATCCACAAATCCAACTAAGGAAAAAAACCAAAACAGAACCACTGAGACATCAGGGAAAACATGCACGAGGAGCCAGCGAAAGACGAGGAACCAGCACAGAGGAACTGCACAGAGAGAGTATTTATGGGAGACTAATGTGTTGATTGGGAGCAGGTGTGAACAGAGGCCTCTAGAAGGAGCTAGGGAAAAGGAGACCAACAAAAGAGGCCAACAGAGGGCAAGCAAAAAAAAACTAAGAACTCAAATACATCCAGAAAACACCAATAAAGCTTGAAAACAAAGAAAAACATACAGTAGATCAATGTGAAACTGAAAATTCACTGAAAACTCAAGACCATGACAGTAGCTTTTTACTTTTTTTTTTTTTTTCCCCACTGAAGTTTATGTTAACTTAAAAGTTGTTCACTTATCTCATCGACTGTTGGTAATTGAAGTGGGATTCACATGTGTGTAATTTTTAGGTGAAGTAAAAACATTATGAACCAACATAGATTGGTTCATAATATTTTCTTTTATTTGCAATTATACCGATTTTCACTGTTTTTATTGTTGTTTTGTGTCTAGAATGTTTCCTATGAACGGATTAGGGCAAAATGAGTAAATGTAGAGATTTGTTTTTAAGAGATGGTTTCATTTAAAAGTCTTAGAAATATATATTAACTACCCTTGACTTCGGTGGGGAAATAAATCCATAAAGCTGAGTTTATTTTTTATAAGCTAGAAATGTTCCCGACAGACCAGGGGAATCAATAAATCACTAAAATAGAGCTTTTCTAAAAGATGGGCTAAAAGATCAAATCATTTAAATATGAACCTTTCCTCGGCTGAACTATCAAAATGACTCCAAGAGAGCATCTTAGATTCTTCAAGAAAGACCAAGGTCTTCCTTGAAGCATCAAGGTGCTGTGTTTTACCAATATCCATGGCTTTCTCTCTTTTTTTCTCCTCAGGTTAAATAAACAGGCAGTAATTATATTGAATTCAAAAGAAAAAAAAATAAATTGCTTTTAGATAAGAGAAAAATCGAATGTAAATGTGGGGCTTAATGTATCTTTTTAGACTTAGATTTATTTTTTCGTTTTGTATATACGAGTGAATACAAAAAATGTATTTCGTTTAAAACAGCTTAACAGACTTCTAAATGTCTTCTTTTATAAGATTTACAACCATTTAGAAAAAAAAAGAAACAGCAGTTAAAAATGTTTTGGCTTTTTTTCTTAACGTTTTTTCACAACTCAGGATCTTCATTTTAGGTTTTGGTTTATTATTTTGGTTTTTAAGTTTGCCATACTTCCTTATTTTTGCCGTTTTGGGTTTGCCATATAGGTTGCCAGGTGTTTTCTAGTTTATTTCTCTTGTGTAATTCTTGGGGATTTAGTTTTGTCTTTATTTAATCATCATATTGGTATTTTTGAAAAATGTATCCCATTAATTTATCATTAATTAATAATCCCTCCCTCAGGCAGAGCCTTCTGCCAATTAGTAGATTCCTTTCACTTTTGTCTCATAGCTGACCTATTTTTTTTACCTATCCCCCTCATTGTTTAAGGCTTCAGTTTGTTGTCAATATCCAGTGGGTTCTCAGTTCCATGTCCTCTTCCATGTTCTCTTTTTTTCCTTGCCTCAGTTTCTTTATTAAATTTTTATTCTCAAATTTCTGCTTCCGAGTGTATTTTTGCTTTAGTGTTGGGCAACACATTATGACAAAAAGCAGTCACACTATAGCGACTGTGTCGCAGGTACAGCAAACAGTGAATGCTTCGTAAACAGGTAAGGTTCTATGGAGGCAATTCTATGGAGTGAAACAGAGTAAAAGCTCAGATGGAAAAATCTATTTTCACAAGATTGGTTTGAATAACTTTTTTTTTTCAATTTGAATAAAAAATCTTGGGAAAAAAAAAATAAATTTTGGTTTTTTCTTTGACATTTAAACATACAAAAAAAAAAAAAAAAAAAAAAAAAAAAAAAAAATTCAACAGAAAGGAATTATTTTGTGAATATTTCTTGACATCTCTTGTTTACTTACAAATGTAATTTTGTGAAAATACAAAAACCAAGCAGTGTTGAACTATAATTAAAAAAAAGTGTTCA